CCAGCAGGTGGGGGAAATCTGGGTGTGCAGGAGGGAGAAAGGACCTCGCGTCACACCCTGCATCCTCGAAAGCCGGTCACGGACCTCTGCCCACCCCTCCAGCAAGGAGGGACTCCCCAGCACAGCCCCACTGCTGGGCAGGCTGTGGAGGGCTCTGTGTCCACCCTAAACATTTGTCTGCTACTTCTGCATAACAGATGTAAAATCTGGGTGGAAAGCACTTGTTTTAGGGAGCGGGGACTGGGCCAGATCATTCCTGGACGCAGGAGGTGCCCCACGAGCCCTTTCAGCGTTGCAGAGCATCCTGTAAAAGTGTTTGTGTGCTCAGTGCCTGTGGGCTCAGCTTTTATTTAGAGAGGAACCAGACACTGTTTCCAGCTTTCACGTACGCTGTGCTGGATGCCACACCTAGGGACCCTTTCAGCAGCTCAGGTTTGCCACGAAAATGGGTCTCCATCATGAGTGAGTCCATGCTGTGGCCACGCATCCTCCTGCTCTTCCAGGGCAGAGCCCTGCGCCCGAGCTCATCTCTGCAGGAGGGGATGTCCACGCTGCTCCTGTGGTCTTGGCACTGTTGTGTTGCCCATCCCATCCCATCGCATCCATTGGCCTGGCAATGGCCACAGCAGAGGGGCTGGGGTGATGCAGAGCGGTGTGGCTGGAGCATCCCTTGCTGGGAGAACAAGCAGCCCGGAGCAGCTGAGCAGGGCACAGCTGCTGCTGCTGCAGCCACAGGTTATCAGAGCATCCTCACCCCCGCACGCTGCTGGGAGAGCCCTGCTTGAACCCTGGAGCAGGGGGGCTCCAGCTAATTAGTCACTAATTGCTTCAGAGGGGAAATGAGCAAAACCCAACCTGTGCATGCCTCTAGCAGAGTGACCTGCGGGCCCTGGGACCCAGCCAGGCTGCAATCACTGAGTAATGGTCAAGGGTTCAACTGTCAGAGCAGAGCTGGAGAAGAGCCCAGCTCAGTGGGTGTTCATCTCCCTGCAGCCTCCCCAGCCCCTTAACGCCCCCGCGGGACTCCCGGGAGCTCCCGGCCTCCGGCAGCAGCCTGGCAAGGCTCTGAGCTGCGCCACAGCAAGCGGCGAGCCCGGCTCATTTAATCTATTCAATTGGATTCAATTTCCAGCCACATGATTCAATTAGCCCCGGAGGGACAGCACGGGGGAGCAGAGGCCACGGAGCAGGACTCAGCCCGCGCTCCGGCAGCCGCTGAGCTGGGAGAGGGGAGCACAGCGTGGAGCCACAGCGGCTGGGCCCCCCGGGGGCACCCGGCTCCTGCAGGGTACACCGTGCTTATCTGACGCTCTAGGATGTGGACAAGACAACAGGAGCAAGACAAGCATCCAGGGATGCTTTTATCAGCCCCCTTCTATGTGGGGTTGCCCCTGTGCTTGTCCAGTGTCCCCCTGAACTCACCCACAACGTGTTGCAGTGGGGAGAACCAGGGCTCGGAGCAGCGTGAAGGGCTCTCAGCAGCACCAGGGAAGGGCAGGTCCCTTCAACAGCCCCTCTCCAGCCTCCTCGCCCAGACTTTTGTTTTTCTGTCTGCCCTCCTCCTGAAAATGCCAGCAAAGGCTTTAATTAGTTTCTACTGCAAGTTCTGAGGGAAAAGCCCATCTTTATCCTGGCCCTTTTGGATGTCTACAGCTTCCAAAGCTGGGCTTTACCCCTTTCCTTTCATATTACTGCAACGGCTCATCTGCCAAAAAACCCCATTACCTCCATGGGGACAAACTCTGTCCAGCACGACCCTGCAGCCCTTGCTCATCCCAACAAGTACCAAACAAGAAAGCAGAGCCCAGAAAACAGAGATGATAATAAATATCCAAGAGGCATCGGTGCTGACACCGAGGTGGAGAGCTGCCGGCGAGTGCCAGGAGCCAGCTGTACATGGCACCGCAGGCTGCTGGCTGCGCACCAGCCCCGGCGGCAGCGGCGATTCGGCAGGGGATCGGTATCTCCCTCTGCTGTGCCCCGCATGGGGCAGGACAGCTGCTCCATCCCAGGAGGGAGGTGTGGGGAGGCAGGCGGTACGCGCTGTGCTTGAACCCCTGTGCAAGGGCTGTCCAGGAGGCGGCTCTGCCTGTGACAGCACGCTTCTCCTCCCAACACCATGCGACAGCCTGGTGGGACCCCAGAGCAGGGGACGAGTACGCCATTCCTCAGGCAGGGAGAGAAAAGCGCCCCAAGGGCACCAGGAGGGCAGCTCAATCCTGTACGTGAGACTGAGGGATCGGGTAGGACCTGCTCCTGGCACCCCCAAGGTGCAGCCAAAACATCACACGCAGCTGATGCCCCCCACCAGCCTCCCATCGGTGCCTCCTCTGACAACCCGCAGCCTGGGCAGAGGAGACTCAGGTCCCCAGGAGCTGCTGTTCTCTCAAGTCTGTATGAAAAATGGGACCTGTAAGAGCTAGGGAAGAAGAGACGATACCAAAAATCACAGTGGCACTTACAAATCAATTTTTAATAACTCCCTCCAAAGTTTAGCTCAAACTCAATTTTTCTCCTCCAGAATTTGGTCATTATTTTGTAAAATATTTGTCTCCCTGCAGTGGCTGCCTAATTTAAAGGCAGCAATCTGATTTGTCCCCATGCTCCCCAAGCCTCAAAAACAGCTCTTCCAATAATAGACTGAGTTATAAATTAGATATAATAAAATACACTCAACTGCTCAGATCAGGTACAGGAAAGTTTGGGACCATCAAGCCATGTCCTGAGGGCGAATGTTGGAGTTGACTTTCTGCTCAGTTCAAGCTGGCCTCAAAACACAAGTAGCAGGACGGTGTTTAACAAAATGGGCAAATCTGCAGCAGAATCTGTGAGCAGGAGTTTGCTGACACCAGCATCACACCTGCACAGGTAGATCTCTGCATTCCTCAGTCACAGCCAGGGCTCCCAGCCTTGCCCATGTTCCTCTCACAAGCAGCCCCAGCAGCACATAGGAGGCAGAGGGTTGCTCACTACTGTCTGGGACCTGCAGCCTGGACCAAGGAAAAAGCATCGTTTGAGAGCTCCACAACCCTCCTCTGCACAGGCAGGAAGAGCCCAAGGGTAAGGGATGGCCCTGCTGCAGCCAGTGTGCCACCAAACGGTGACAGGGCCACCCCGAAATGACCCACTCTCCCCGCTGTGAAGGATAAACACTGCACACTCCAGACAGGCAGGGCTCTGCTATTTATTGAGCTCTAGGTTTTTAAGTACATCCATTTACAGTGCTTGGTTGTGTGACAGCATGACAGGAGGATGTGCATAGGGCTTCCCCAGCCCAGCCTGGGATGAGGGCTGGTCTCAGGAGCTGCTCCCCGTCACAGCCCAGGCTTCTCCCTTCATCCCAGCAAGGGAGCACCCTGGGAGAAGACAAGACCTTGGATGGCTGAGCCCAGGGTGAAAAGCTGAAAACCCCAGAGGTGACCAAGGCAGGCAGACTCAGCCCCAACTCTCACCTCTGCTCAGTCTCAGCCCAAGTGGGATCAGAGTGGAGGAGGCATACGGACAGCTGGGCGACTCAGTGCACCCCAAGGAAGCAACACAAGCCCCCTTTAGATGAAACTTCCCCCCTCAGAGGCAAGATATCTCACAAGAGCTCCCCACGCATCCAGACCACAGTGCCACAAGATGCCTTTTACTCACTTCCCGCTGGAGAAGCTGCCTCCTCCTGCATGTCGTGGCCTGTTTTCGAGCAGTGACTTTAGGGAGTCTGCTTGCTCTCTCAAGCACTGACAGACCCTCTGACCTGTATGCGTTTCCACACACTCGCATGGCAGGAAAGCAAGTAAGTGTCTGGCTTAGCTGATAAAAACCAGACAATTTCGTGCTGAAGGAAAGTATGCTCCACTGGGAGAAGCCCGTGTTCCCAAGGAAAACATACGGTCTTCATCACATGCTCTGGTCAGTGGGTGGCCAAGGACACAGCTTTCAGTTTCCCAAGCTCATGGCAGGTAAAGATGAAACATTAACACAATTAACGTGTTAGCATGAATAAGCCTTGCCGAAAAATGGTAGTAAATGAGCATGACGTTCACATCACTCACACTACTCTAACCTACGAGGCTAAGAGTGGGACTAGGCACTTTTTTTTTTTTTTTTTCAAAAAACTGTTTTCTGCGGGGGGGGGGAAGTGGATCTGGGATGTAAATAAGTTCTCTGCTTCGGTCCACCAGGTCAGGACAGATCCTAATGTCACTGCTGCGAGCTGAAAATGCACAAGTAGGAAGTGGGTGTTTATGCTGCATATTCCTGAGTTGGCAGCCAGACACAGCAATGGGAACAGACTCCCCTGGCCCTGGGCACCTCAGAGCAGAAAGGGGCATCATCCCGGAGCTCTTCCTTAGGAAGCTCTCAGTAGCAGACTGCTACTGCAAGTGGCTTGGTGAAGATGGGAGGAAAGGGAAGTTACTGCTTCTCCAGCTGCATTTTAACTGCATGCTACACACAGGGGAAAAACTGGGGACCTCTCAGCTCGTGAAGATCACCAGGCACTTGCAAACATGTGCAAGGCAGACATTCCTGTGAGGAAGAGTAGGATTGTCACAAAGCAGTCTCTGATGGGCATCAAGGGGACGCCCCATGAAAGTGGAGTATCCAAAAATGTCCCTCAACCTTAGAAACAGCAGAGATGAGCTGGGCTACTGGAAGCAACAGCGACCTCAAACAGAGCTGGTCTCCAGTTACAAAGTGTGCTGTTTGATGACCCATAAACTCGCATACCCAATACTCTGGCTCAGACTGGATCCCGTCAGCCAACAGCCTTGGAGGTAAGATTTCCCCTTCTCCAGCAATCTGATGGCTTGGTTCAAGTGGCACCTCCTGACATCAGGAGCCAGCAGTGAGCAGGGCCTGTTCCTTGGGGAAACTGTTTTATACCCCAAAGCCACTCCCAATGGGATGGCAGTGGATTTGACCTACATTGCGGGAGGGAGGGTTGATCTAGGCTGATGAGGAGAACAGCCCTCACCCGTAGAGCAGGCAAGCGATCTCAACCCAGGACTGTTTCACAGAGCTGGACTGGCTTTATTATTTTGGTTGTGAGCTCTCCCCAGCTCTGCTACAAAGGTTTCCAGTGCATCTTCTCTGAGGCTGTGGAGGGAATCTCCCACTGCGACGTCACAGGAGTGGCTGTACACCCCCATGGCACCTCACAAAATTGCTTCCTCCTCCTCCTCAAGATGTCGATCGCCTCTCCTCAGCCTCAGTCCTCTTGAAACACACATCTCTGGGATCAAACACACAGCAGCAAGGCTCTCCCCTAGAAGAAATGCAGTCTCTTCTGCAGATGGAAGGCAAGGCTGCAGATCCGTAGTGTCCCTGCCCAGACAGGCCCATCTCTGGTCCGCCCTGCGCAGCAGCTGCATCCCTGCTTCAAGAGATCGTCGAGAATTCCTTCAGGAGCAGCTCCTGGCTCAGCGTGTTGAAGGCAAGGTTCTTCCTCACATTGATGCTGATGGACCGAACCTGACAGAGACAAAACAAGATGTTTTAGAAAGGGACTCTTCCAGGCTCCCCACGAGCATGGCAGCTTTGATGCTGCTGACCTCCAGGTTCAGCATGAAGCTGTTTTGCATGCAGTTATAGCCTCAGAGAACTTGCTGCAGCCAGCTCTCACTGAGACTCCAGCTCAGCAAGGAATCTCTGAGGATTAGCTGCTTCCTGGCATAACAGGAATGTCTATAGTGATGTCTTGGCAAGGATAGTAAATTCCAGATGAGACAGGGATGGGAGAGGATGCTCTGTTTGGATGCATGAGCTGTGATGCGTTTCCTATTCTGAGGAAAAGTGATGGGGAAATTGAGCACTTCGAGGCTGCAGCTGGAAGAGCCTTTTCCACCAGTGCCCACGGCAGTACCAGCCAGCTTTCTCCTGGATGAATGTAGTGCCATGGCCTCTGTCCTGCTCCAGAACCTGCAGAGCCAATGAAGCAGAGGCAAGGAAAGGACAGAGGCCATGCTACTGTGCTGTAAACACAAATTACCACCCACACTGGCAGAAAACCATGCGTTCAGAGCCAGCTGTGTGTGTTCTCTGCTGAGTGCCTCACACTTGAAGCTGGCTCTGGAGCTGGCCCTGAAGAAGAGACACCTTTATCCCTTAACGAAGCCAGATCGCAGGTCGCTTGCAGAGCCGGGCAGCCCCAGCGCGCAGCACCTTCCCTCCCCTCTCCGTGCTTGCAGACTCGCTGGTCAAACACGTGGGCCCCAGACTGGGCTCAGGCTCAGCTGCGCTCAGCAACGAGAAAACAAAGTCAAACATCATCTGTGTCAGAGCCTGTGCAGCAGTGACAGAAAGCAAAACTGACACAAGCTCATCCAAACAATGGGATTACAGTTCCCAGAGACTCGGAGCCTGTGATAATAAGGTTGTTGCTGACCTGGTTAGTGTTTTGTGCTTTTTAAAAGCACTGGGGGATGAATTATATAGAAGCAGAACAAAGAATCCAGCAAGAAGAGCAAGTTAGCAGTGTTCATACCGCTAAGGGTCCCACTTGCTGCCCTGGTGAGAAAAAAAGAGGGGGAGAGCAGAAAACTCCCCAAAAGGCAGAATGTGCAAAGAGTGGGAAGCAATTAAAAACATGGAAAGTTAACAGAGAAAGCTGTGAAATGAACCCAGGGAGCCCCATTGCACAGATCCTAACTGCCCAAGCAAAGTAGGGAAGGTGTCTACACTTAAAGACAGAGTATTTGAGTTTTATGGCATCTGCAGAAACCTCAAACTCTCCTTCATCAGGGTGTTTGGCAGAGACCACATGCATCTGCGTTCCCTTGGAGCATCCCCTCAGCTCTCTTCTCTGGGTGCCTTCTGACTTACTCCATACTGAAATAGCATGGGATCACGTCTTGTAGGCTATAACCTGTGGTTATCTTATGTTAAATGCCACTGCAAGTGGTCTCCAGAACATTGGCTTGCTCTGGACTGTCTCCCTGTCAGGAAACAAAGCCCCCACAGGATTTGGTCCCAGTCCCACTGAGTGCTCCCATCTCAGCCAACCAGTCAGTTCTGACAAGAGGGAACAACATGGCTAAACCAATGCAGAGAGTTCTCTGCCCTGGGCAACATCACTGCTTGCAGAAAAGGGGCAGATGCTACATGCAGTGTGAGCCAGCATGCTTAATTCTGACTAGAAGCATTGCTATGGGTCCCAGCAACAGAAAGAACAAGCAGAAATGAGCTCCTGGCCTTGGGAACTGCTGCCAAAGGCCAGGCACCAGCAGTAGAAGATGCCCAACTTATCTACATAGCACAGTCTCCAAGAAGGATGTGGCAGCAGTCTCAACAAGCCCAGAAAGGGGGTCAAAGTGGCACACGATGAGAACATGGGGCTTAGCAGATATTGCAGCTATGGGGTAGAGCACAGAAATTAAGCCTGTTTAGTTTGCAAAGAGAACATTTAGGAAGAACAGAGCAAACACTCTCCAATATGTAAAATGAGGTCAGAAAGAGAACAGTGAGTAATATTTCTCTGGCTCCCCAGGGATGGGGCAAGAAGTACTCAGGTTAATTTAAGAAAAAGAAGATTTGCACTGGAAAAGAGGAAATACTTTTAAACCTATGGGTTGGGAAGCAGTGGAGTAGATCACCTGAGGCCGGTACGGAGCTGTTTTCACTTAAAAGACAGCTTCAGGTTTCAAGAGGAGCTTAGACACAAACTCTGGCCAAGAGTGGTCTAGATGGACTTAGATCTGCTTTAACACAAGGAGAGGAGTGGACATGATTACAACACACAAGATGACTCTGGTATCTCTACAAATCTTTGCCTAGCATTTATTCTGCTGTGAGAAAGCAGGCAGCTCTGAGCCAACCAGCTTAAAAGGTAAGAATAGCTCAAATTAGAGTTAAATCAAGTTATCTCCAGCACCAGGGCTCAGCACGGGGAGCCAGAGCTCATCTCCCTTTCGGGGCTGGCAGAGCAGACAATGACACAGGGAGGTGACAGCCGGTGACAAGGATAAACTTCAGAACCTCCCTGCGGTCTGGCCGAGCCGCTCCATCCACGAGGCTACACCCCAGGACGCAGTGCAGCAGGCAGCCCTGGCCTGGCCGCCAGCCTGGAAGCTACCAGGACTCTCCAGAGTGGCCGATACAAGGGGTTAAAACCAGCCTCAGAAAGCAAGCTCAGAGCTTTAATGTTCCTTCTGCAAGGAAATAAAAGCAGAGCACATGTCCTCTCTCGCTTCTCTACGGAGCATACTGGAGCTCTAGGGTCAGAAGAGCTTTTAAAATGGTTTTCTCCCTATTAGCAGCTTGGATCCCATTTAACTCACACACTTTGAAGAAACAGGAAGTGCATGAAGTGCTGAGATCACCTGGAGAACAGTGAGCAAATGAAAGAATGGAGGAAGCGGTGGCATTAACCATGTGAGGAAAACATTATTCAGTTCTAGTTTTGTGTCTCTATAGCTGGATGTGTGCAACACTGTGCAGACACTCTGCAGCAAGTCTCATCAATAAAACCTGTTTCCAATCAACAAGCAGCTCTTAAGAAATTTGTACAATGGGTGGAAGGGTTTACACTGACTACTACATCTAATTAAAAGTCAAATTAGTGTAATTTCCCCCGCAGAAATCAATCCCTTAATCAGACTATTTTGAGACTCTGCTGAAACGTCTCCAACTGCAAAGACAGTGAATGTTTTGGAAAGATGCTGAATCTCTTTCCACACATTCCTCCAGCTGCAATGTGAGGGTGCAAAAGCTCACATCCAAGCCATTCATTCTATCAAAGCAGCACAGACCTCAAATGACATCCCTGAGGGTTCAAAGGAAAGTACATAAAAAGTGTTAGAAAACTTCCTAACTTCCTTCCTTTAGCCCCTCAAAGGCAGCACAACAGGCCAGAAAACCCAGTTGATAAAACACTCTGCACATCACCTTCCACCACAATGTGGCTGCACTATCACAGCCCTTTGAAAGCCCCTTTGAAAAGGGAATGGGAGAAGAAAGCAGATTTTTCTTTGGGATTAGCAAGAAAGAGTAGCACTGAGGCAAAGCCAGAGAAGTGAAGCAGTGCATTAGCAAAGCGCGTCAAAGGAGTGAGAACGAGATTTCTAAGCATAAAGGAGCCAAGAGAAAGGCTTGGGGAAGTTTCTGCTCACCCACTTAATGGGAGCACAGAGAGATGAAAAGGCAGCCGAAAAGGAAAATGGCTCCTGTGTGTCATTCCCCACCAAGAAGGATTTGCTTTTATGCAATCGCACAGATAGAGACAAGAAAACCAGGTAGAATCTGGAAAGAACTATTTGCAAACAGATCCTGTTCAGGAAGACCTGATGGGACCAGCATGAGTTTGGAAACCATACTGGAAACCTAATTCACCACCAGCCCTGCTCGTTTGGCAGAGCCCACAAAGCAAACTGCAGCAAGGCCACTCTGCCCCCTCCGTGAAATCCTGCAAAACTCAGCAGAGAAACACAGCACCTCGGGTAGGGAGATATTATCCACCACCAGCAACAGAAGCTGAAGTGAAGACTCAGAAGCCTTGCAAAAAGGGAGCCAAGTACCTGGTTTGAAGAGGCTATGGGGAGGACGGGGCAGACTAGGGCCTTTTTGATTACTTGTTTGAACAATTAATAAAGCCGTCAGTTACTGTGCACCTAGAGGAAAAACCAGCATGTAGGATGGGAGGCCAGCTGGGTTTGCTGAAGACAAATCATAACATTTCAGGTTGATTTCCCGCTGTGTTGAGGGAACGGCTTAACGGAATGCAGGGAATTTTCTGTAGCTGTGAGTAAAGAACATTTAATAGGGTCCCAATTCTCAGGGCATCTAGAGAAATGTGGATTAAACAGATTCACAACTGGGTCAAATCAGCACATTTATACAGTAATTATTCAGGCTTTCATATGCTCTTGAGGAGAGGGTCCCAGGCGTACCTGGACAGGCAGTTTTCAGAAGGGAGCTGAGAAGGGACTGGTTACTGTAAACAGATACTTAAAGATACAAAATTGGGATTTAAAAAAAAAATCAGGCTAGGAATAAAATCATTTTAGCTGAAGTGTTTTGTAGCTGTGATGATCTTACAACTGAGAATGTAATTTTAATCAATTGGCATGATCAGCCTGAGCTTCTGCCAGGCCAAGTGGAAAGTGGGGCACGCAGGCAGCAGAGCAGTCATGTGGCCAAGAGGCTGGGGAAGGAGATGCTGGCTGAGGAGGCCAGGAGCCCCTGAGACAGAACAGATGACAACAGAAAAACAAGTGCATTTTATTTCCAGGGTACAGCAATAGGAGAAACCCATGTAACCGGAAGGGTACGGCCAAATTTCTTCACAATGTATTTCAGATACAGTATCAAACAGCAGGCCAGGGAGACAAAAACAGGCACAAAAGAGCAAAAGAAAATGACATGAAAGTGATTGCAAATGTTTTTGCCTGTATATTACCCAATGGCAGTGCTGGAATGACCAAAAAAAAAGCATTAAAAAAGCATTCTGTAGAAGGAAGCAAAACCAATTCAGGCGTGCTTGCTCTGGAGCAGAGTAGACAGAGGGAGGCATGACATTCCTAAACTCATGCAGACTTGTGATGGAGTGGGCAGGCATCAATTACTCATCAATCAGCAAGGACAGAGCTGGGAGAGAGAATCAGCTCTCAAACTGGTGGAGAAAGCTGCCAAAGTTAGAGATCTCTCCCTTCACTGAAGCTGTAATGATTCAAAAGTGAGGAAAAACAGGCTCCTCTCAGAGACCAGCCACTACAAAAACACTGCCTCCTGGTGATGCGGCCACTGTACAAGAAAACGTTGCATCAGGGCTCCCTGGAGCAGGGTAAGCAAGCTGACTTGCTGAAGAATATAGCTACCAAGCCAAATTATTTGGACTCAAATTTTGTCTTTGGACTCAGTTTTGTCTTTGCTGTAATATTTTTGTGACGCTTCCTACTATTAGTCTTCTCTGGCAGGAGGAGACATTTCTAGGGAATGCCTTTACTTTCTTTGCTTGGGAACCCTATTTTATGGATGATGGAGGAAAGAAACGAGCAGGTACATGTTTTACCAGCACCACATACTCTGCTCAGTCCCATACATTGTGGTTCCCTTAACAACAGCAAAAAGGCTAAGCTCTGTGTGATAAACCCAAGGTGGGAACGGTCAGCTTCTCCACCATCCAAATTTACCACCAGAAAACACAGTGGATCCCCATGACAGAAGGGACAGAGACTGACTGACCAGTTGCTGGCCTGGGCAGTCTGGTGGTTCCTCCCCAGTCATGGGTCTGGGAGCTCCAGGGAGCATTCATATCAGTTGAGACATGCAGTGTCTGTTCAGATCCTCTTCTTGCCCCATCTCTGGGGGCAGCCCAATGGAGTAACAGAGCTGCTCAGCTTTACCCCACTTTACGGCTCAGGCCGTAAGCAGAAGCTTTGGAAAAAGGCTGTTGATTCAGCTTACCAGCTCTTTGAAGAAGGCAGCCTCCTTATGCTGCTCTGAGTAGCGCTCGTACTGGTCCAGTCCATCCTGCAGTTTCAGGGTCAGCGTGTCGTAGTTGGACCGCACCACTTCCAAAACCTGCCAGAGACAGCCAAAGACAGCGGAGGAGTCAGCATCCACAGATGCCTCAGCATAGGAGGAGCGGGCCTGAGATAGATCACAGCTCTGGCACCTGTTTTTGCAACATACATGGCTTTAGCAGCCAATATTTGGCTCATGACTAACAACACGGAGGTGGGCACTAAAGTCTTCCTAATACCAGCAAGGAACATCCCTCAAATATAAAGAATTTCTTCATTCATGGGAAAAGCGGACGAGTCTATGACAGCAGCAGTGTTCCAAGTACTATTATATCTCTAGGAGAAGCAGGCATTATCTCATTAAATTAAGCAGCTAATTACCATGTGTATACCCAAACATAGCACAGTAGGCACTATGCAAACACAGGTTTGCCTGACCCCATGGTCCGCCCAACGCCAGTTTTGCCAGCACACCTCCCTGCTGGCTTGCTCATCAGCATCCACGATCTGCCAAACCGCCAGCTTCTGCAGCTGCTCAGGTCAGCTCCCACACAGAGCACTGCACCTCTCTCCTGATGGGAACAAACTGCTGACAGGCACTAGGAAGAGACCGGCTCTGGTACAGCCTCTTTGTTTGGAAACAGATGGAGACATGACTCCAGGTCTTCCTGCCAAGGAGATGCTTTATTATCTGCCTTCCCTGCAACCAAAGCACTCCAGCTTATATTACTGCCTTACTCTACTCCCAGCACTGGGCTATACTTGCAAATTCATAGTTGCACATCTCTGTCCTATTGAACTATTCATTTTCCTAACTAGGGAGCACCAAGAGGGACTCTCACAATGCTTTTTAGCTTCAAAGCACTGCACGGACAAACACATTCCACAAAGCATTTGCGAGGTGGTAAGTAACGATAATCTTCCTACCAGGAGCCATAGAGCTCAGCCCTCCTGGGCAAAACATATGCTTGAAACGACTCTCTTAAACACATGAACTTCTTTCTTAGGCTGTTACCACTTGACCTAAGAGCTAAACAGACAGAATATCGACATCTGTGGTTTGCATTACAGTAGCCTCTGCTCATGAAAAGCCCCAGCCAGGAGGACTACACAATATGAGGTGCAAAGAAAGAGGACTCTACCCCAAGGCATTCACAATGCAGAAGATACCCTAATAAAAGCACTGCAGAGCACGTAGCACACCAGTGACCAGAACAACAAGGAGCCCTTCTACTTCTCCTCTTGACCTCCCAACAATGTAAACACCACCCTCAATTACCCTTTTAGGCAGCTGTCAGCTCCTGCCCTTTACAGGACTGAATAATGTCCTTACGTCCTTTCCTTGAGAAATTCCAGACTTGCTATGGGCTCCCTTCAAAACCTTGTTCCTTCCCAAACTTTGCACATGGCAGCGGTACACAGAGACACTCATACAAACACTGAGACGTAGGCTAGGGCCTGAGGTGACAGAAGCCACAGGGCATCATCCAAACGAGGACTGAAGGTAAAAAAAGTTCCCAGAAGTGGTAAGATGGCCACACAGCAGAGTCTCTTTGCAGCTCAGCTGTCCTCCAGCATTGCAGAGACAAGCTAGGGGTAGCAATTAAGTGGTGTGCAAGGTTATTTAAGAATAGCTTGGCAGTGTTCTGCTGCTGCAAGAGCATGCAGCCTCCTCTCCAGGACTCATTTTCTAATGCTGCTTGTCAGCTCCACTGGCAATGAGGAAGAACCCCCTGCAACGACAGCCATCTCCAAATGCAGTCTGGCCTTCTTGTTCCTGTATGCAGAAGCTGTGAGAAGTATCACAGAGACAAGAGCAATGATGAAAGAAAGATGTCTGGTACAGGAATAATTTTGTCTGGGATGGAACTATCCACTAGGGATGGAGAGTAATAGTATAATGCACTTTCTTCTGAGCAATAAAGAATCTAGCAGCTTGCATGAATCAGAGGGTATCCTCCTGTCAATTTGACAAAGCCCAGTTGACCAAGATCAATAAGCTGCAGGAGAGAAACCCTATTTGAAAGGTGATGAGTAGAATGTGCTTTTCCAGCAGTAACTCAGAGTAGAGGCATTTTACCACTCAGGGTAACCCCATTCCTCATGAGACTTCCCTTGGGTCCTCTTCACTCCCCCATGCCCCCTGCACACAGCCGAGCGAAGGTCATACGAATGTGCCCCGACAGTGGATGTACACACTTCTCCATGAAGCAGCAGGATTCCTCCTTGCTAGCTCTGAGTAGAGATCTCTTCAGATACTCAACAGGGGCATCCTCAAACCACTGTGAGCAGAAGTAAACTCCAAGGGCAGCAGTGAGCTCTGTAAGCACTATCCTTTAAATCCGCCCTCCTGTGTCACCTTGGAAAGGCAGCTAAGAACTCAGCTTGATGCACTTGGAAGAGGACAGGGAAGGAACAAGACGCCCCAAAGTCTCTACTGTGTTACCCACTACTTACCGTAATCTCTGCAGTGAATTTGAGATCAGCTTATCCCTTTAGCTATGTATTTTCGTTAGCTTCAACTCCTTATCTCCTTTAATTATGAAATAGAACTTAAAAAGAAAGGGTAAGTTAAAAATAAACAGCTTCTCCTCACTCCCTGATAATTTCCCTTTCTTGCTGCTGCTGAGAAAAAAAAAACGCTACGTGGGATCTGAGATAAACCCACTCACAGATCATTTCACTTCATACCCTGTAATGGATAGGAACTGTTACTGAGATTAGGACCTGCCATCCCTGAAACGATGTCATCTGCTCTTTAAGATGCAGCAGCTAGGCAGAGGAGAGGTTAAGGAGCAGCAGAAGGTATTAAGCACATCTGACATGAAGGTCTGAAAGGCATCAGCATTCTACAAAAACCTCACGTTCTCTGTGTAAGGGAAGATTGCACGCCAGCATCCTTTGCCCTTCTTACACACTGCTTTGACTTCTGCTCAGGAAGACGACTGCAGGAAGAACGCCCTTTTGCATTAAACACAAGAGATCTTTATTTGTACCTTCCTGTCAGATACAAAAGAACTGAAGGAATTTAATTTTGAGATTAAAGCGTTTCTCCTTCAAGGTCTTGTCTGACTTGGTCTTCCTAGAAGTCTCTGTGAAAGACTAGAAAACATCAGTTCCAAGATGATGAAGTATGAATAACTTAAAAAGGAAGGGACTTTTAGCTGGGCTCTCCCACATGGACTTTAAATAGTCATTCACTTTTTAAAAATCACACAAGCAGCTAAGTACCCACTAAGTAGTGGGTAACACCCTTTCTAGTGCCGGGCAAGGATAGAAGAAAATGGACTGTAGAAGATTTCTAAGGAGCTTCTTAGCAAGCAACAGGGACGATAAGATGTGACACTCCTCAGATTGCAAGGATAAACATGTAGGGCAAACTATATTAAAAAAAATGCTTTACTGAATCTTTCCAGTGGGAAAAAAAAAAAAGTAGTCACAACCTAAATCTCTTTTTGTAGGTTACCTTAGGGGGCTCAGAGTCTCAAAAAAGCAGTATGACAGAAGTGAGCAACATGGAGGAGGTCAATAGAAGAGAAGTGAAGGCTGCTGAATTCCTTTCCTGGAGTAACCCGTATCAGCCCTAGAGGCTACAATTGCTCATTCACTCCACTGCAACAAACCAGAAGTCAGTGGAGCTGCACTGCTGCAATCTAAAGACAATTTGCCATCAAATTAACCCCTGCCCTACCACTCACTCACTCACTGACTGCTCTCCAGAAGTTCCAGAGAAACATTAGCAATTCAGGTCCCTGCGTATGCGTCCCCAAACCAACATTTTGGGAACTGCTCTGAACAGCAAGCGGTTTCTGCGGCACTCGGATTTCAGCTTCTTCCTGCCCATGTCCCGTAACTCTCCTTCCTCGGTAACACCGACCACCTATGAGTGGAGACACCCCTCTGGGTAACACAGCAGGGGGGCTGGCTTACAACAGAGGCCACACAGGCCTCTTACTGCACCAGAGCTCTTCCCACTGCCCGATCCTCAACTGGATCTGGGTTGTTGCATGCCCCCCGGGGAGACTGGACCTTCTGGACGAGCCTGTCTGGGGAAACAAGGGGGTTACATCCAGCAGTCTCTGATCCCCATCCTGCCCAGGAGAACACAGCCACGGTTAGCAGCAAAGGACTTGGTGGTCGGTGGGTTCTGGGAAACAGGCACAGGTAATGACAGAAAAGTAAAGGAAAAGCAGAAGCAAGAAGAAAGCAAGGTCTCTACAGTGTCTTTTTAATCAGCGCAGCAAAGGACAAGAATGCAATCAGTCAGCGTCACCAGCATCTCACTAAAGCCTCTCCATGCCCATAAGTAAGTCGTTAGCTACCATGACGCAGAAGCAGTTGGAAAAGAACTGACTGAATTATCTCACATCAAGCAAAAGGCAAAAAAACCCTTCAACAAACTGCAGGTCAAAATGTATCTGCCCTTCACACCAGCTCCATGTGGTTCACAGGGCTGAGATGGGATCAGATCAGGCCTTGCAATCCCTCACAGGACAAAAAAGCGGGGTGCTTCTGTCCCATGTTGGAAGGATGGAGCAGCCTCTCTAGGGGGCACATAACACCCTCACCAATGCTGCTGCACAAACATGGCACAGGGATCAAAGGCAGACAGGGACAAACGTCCCTTCTGTCCTCTCTGCAGAGGTGGTGGAGTCCCTGTCACTGCCTGTGTACCACAGAGGGAATTTGGGCAGTCCCACCTATGAAACCTAGGCAAAGCCCAAGACACCACGAGCAAACCCATCAGTTTATGACCTCAGCTTAGAGGACAGAGGCTGTAGAAGGTTTCCCTCTGCTAGTAGAAGCCTGATGTGCATTTTACACTGGAGTCCTCAAACTGGCTTGTTTACTCCAGGTTTAGTACAAATCTTCCCCTTTTTCTCCCCCACTAATCTTCACAAGCAACTTGGTCCCTGAGTGAAATCAACTGAACAGCAACATTTCTCATTGTAACGAAAAGGCTTCTGGCACCTGGGCTATGAGGAGGCTATTGCCTCTCCATAATAGTGCCCAATAGTTGACTTAAATTTTAAAGTATAATCTTCTAATTGATATGGA